ATATATATAGGGGAAGTGAAACCCTAGGTAGGTGAAAGTATAATAGTCGAGGGCTTAGGTAGGTTATGAGCTGTAGCTGCCTCCTGCTCACATGATTCAATCCTCTCTTAAAAGTCTCTTTATTCCACCCCCTCCTTCCTTCCTACTTCTCCTCTCCCGGTTAATTACATACATATATATATATATATATACCCACAAACCCTAGCCCACACCCCACCCAACCCCACCATCTAACTATATATTAGGGTTCATGTTGTTGCACCATGGTATATACCTCATCCACTTTTCCATCTTCATGTTCTTATGTTTTGTGCCATGCTTCATTTCTGTTTCATTCAATTCTTCTTCAGAAACCCAACTCATGGCTGATGTGTGTGTGTGTGTGTGGTATATATATATATGGTGTATGTATAGGTTGGTGAAGAAATATCCATGGATGATGATAATGATAGGATTGRAGGAAACAGTGAAGCTGCCAGCATGATCTAAATAGGGTTTGTTTTAACCATACATAAAAAACCCTAACTAGGTCATGCGGACAGCTTCACTCCTTCCTTTGTTCTTGGTGCCTCCGATCAACAAACAACACGAAAAATGCTACGGTTTTCGGTATGTTTTCTGCTTATATCCTGCGAACACGGTTTCTTGTTGGATAATCCATTTGACAAAATATCCAAAAATAGATTCAAATGTAACAACTCGTTCCAAATGGATTAGAAAACCCTRATTTCTTTATAAGTTTAAAGTTGTAAGCTACAGATAACTTTTAACGATTTTAAGTTGAATTAAAAAGTTATTTCTTTCAGTAATATATGCTTATTAACTTTAGGGTTTTGTGTGTGGAAATTCCTTTTGAAAATAAGTCTCAAACCACTTGGAACAATCTCCTTATCCTATTCGCAATTCTTGACACTTAAATATTTACTTTTTTACCCTTTTCATTGAATGTTTGCACACACCTTTGTTTCGTGCACAAGCCGAGGGTGTCACGAAAACCACCTCTTGATTCTAGTGGTTGAGGTAAGGTTTGTCTTTGGTCGCTCAGGGGATGTAATCGAAATCTCATCTTTCCTGAGTTCGAATCTAGACTCTGTCAAAGCCCTTGTGACCATAAGGTCGGTCACCTGTGATGATTTCGGGTTATTAGTGGTCACCTGAGGTATTAGTTGTGATGACTAGGTTTACCTATGATGATTTCGGGTTATTAGTGGTCACTTGAGCTATTAGTTTGTACGTGTAAGCTGCACCAAATACCCATGTTGACCAGAAAGAAAGTTTGCCTCTCCCATACCCTAATTTCGAGTGGATATACTTGGTTCGTTTAGTGTGTTGTATATAATTATTGATATGTTTTTTTTATCTGATTAGATAGCAATAATTACTGTATAAAATTTAATATGTAATCGTTTAATTTGTCTTATAAAAGCAAGCTTTATTTTGGTTTAGTTCTCATTCGGATCGGATGCTCGTTATGCAAATTTATCATACCTTGGTGAATATTCATTTAACATACATGTTTTTGAAGGTAAAAGATTGTGCGAGAAAGAGAGTTAAGGTGAGAAATGTAAGAAGGRATCTGGACCCTTGATCACCTTTAATCTCAAACTCATTCATGAATCGTGCTTTAAACGGGGATTGATCTAGTGCATCTCATCATAATGTGCATCTAATGGTGGATATTTCTTCTTATGTTTCTCGTGTTAACTCTCCTTCTCACCGGAAGCCAACCCTAATTTTGAATAGGGAGTTCAAAATACAAAACATGGAATACTTACAAACCAATATAAACTATGATAATCACGGAAACAATTGAAATATTTATGGAAGATGATAAATTCATTCATTATGATCATTGTTTCAGTTAGATTAAAAAACAATCCAAATATTTGTGAACCAGATATTCATTAGGTTATGTGGACGGTTAAGATTGGTTTGTATGGTTTGTAAGACTTCAGTAATTTATATTTGAAACTCCTACCATCAAATACCGTATAACTGATTTTTATTTCATTTTATGTTTCGGGTTCAAGACAAATACTCATCATTATCATCTCCAACGGTTATATTACAATTTTCTAAAATAAAGTATTTAAAATCATAATCTTTAAAACAATTACATCCCACAGCTACTCTATTTTAGCAGTTCCAACATTAATTATATTATTGTTATATTTTATAAATTCATCTTTTCGATATAATTTGGAGATTTTATCTTTTTCTTTTTTGTCGATTTTTAACGTACATTTTAACGTAGCTGTTAGAGTAAAGAACTCGTAAATCTCTATTTTATAATAGTTGATGGAAATGCTCATAAAATGATAACCGCAATGCATATTAAAACCCCATTTTTACTACAATCGTACATTAAAAATAAGGGGATGTTTGGTTAGAGGTATTAACAGTTGTTAATTGAAGAATGAAAATTCATTTTCAATTTCGTTTCCTRCCATTTTTATTTCCTAACTTTAACCAAACAACCACTAAAACACTAAAAATCCACGACACAAGACTTTRCCCGTGGTGGATAGTTGCCCGCTACAAAACACATTTTTTCCAGCTAAAATACCAATCGGATGGAGAGAAACAACCTACAAAAAGAAAAGAACTTTTATCGCATAATCAAATTTTTTGTATTGTTTTAATGTTTTAAAGTACGAATATAAAGAAAATTTGAGCTTCTGCCGTGTAGTCCAGTCNGTACGAATATAAAGAAAATTTGAGCTTCTGCCGTGTAGTCCAGTCCGTAAATAAGTGAGACAACTTTGTCCAAATACTAGACCGCTCTCGGGTTCAATCCTACCCCCCCTCCCCTCCCTCTGCCCCCACCCTAGTCTAAGCCATTGATTGAGCAAAGAACACTCCATCCATACATAACCGATAATTGTTGGTAATCAGCTTTTTATCAGATTCGCGTAAATGTTGTGAGAAAGTCAAAACAAAATGATTTCTAAAAAGGGTAAAAACATGTGAAAAGAGTTTTCCCCCACTTCTTGGAATGAACAAAAGGGTAACCAACCGACATGAGTTTTTATTTCTATAAAATAAATTGATTGTGTTTATTTTTTATTTTTTTTAAAAAGAAAACAAATAAATGTTTTTCACTTTGAAATAGAGGTTTAGTTGGGCTTTAACTCATTTGCTTAGTAAATTAAGGCCCAATAAAAAGCCCAAAACTCTCTTATATCATTTTTTTTAATATTCAAAAGATTTGGGAAAAATCAAAGAAATGTATTCAATGAATTTGATCAAAACCATGTTTTAAATAAAAATATTTCTTTTTATTTTTTTAATCAGAAATTGTGAAAATATAATCAAAATTGGAACGAAATAAATTACCCAATACAACGATCAATTTATTATTTTTAAGAAAATATTTGCAAAAATATGTGGTACTAAATTAGTTGTAACTACTTTTCTTTAAAATATAATTATCACCATATTTTTCTRATTGATAATTAGCTAAATATAAACAAAAATTAGAACAAAACAAACTATATAAAAACGATCATTTTGTTATTTTTAATTTGATATTTATATTGAGATATTATTTTGTATATTTATTTTGACGTGTCCTTCAGGGTTTGTTTTTTCTTTTTGAGATTCTCCCCAATCTCACCCCTATCGACAAATCCATAATTTCTTTTGTTGTCGCAACTTGTAAAATCATGTGTGATTACACAACCTTGCGTTGATTGTATTACATAATCGTATGAGATTTCTATGTAAAATCATATGATTTGATTGTTCTCGTATTCTCTTATCTTGACTATGTTCTCAACACTCTCTCTCTCTCTCTCTATATATATATATATATACATACACACACATTGATATATATCTTCATTACATTTAACTACCTTTATGTATCTATTTTGACCAAAACTTTAACAAATTCATACATGCAAATGTAATTAAATGTATGTAAAAATTTGTAAAAATGCAATAAAAAAAAAAAAGTAAATAAATGTAGTTGAAGGTAACTAAAGATACTGAAAATAGTCACAGAAAATTAAGTTAGATTAAAAATTCAAATGCTTAAAAATATTCTTCCTTTCTCACCGGACTGTTATTCTCAAACAATCCCTCATATGTGTGTGTTTGTGTGTTTATATATATATAAAGGCAAGTTCATACGACAACGGTACCTATTCAACAAATAAGAAAAAATAGCCAAATTATGTACAAAATCACATGTGATTTTACATTAACGGACAAAAAATGGAGTGCAGGCAATTTTGGCCACGACCTTAGGTCATAGAGCAAAGTCGCGTGAATCACATGTAATTTTACAAATGATGTGAATATAAAATCATATGTGATTCGACCATTTTCTTAAATTAGTATCATTCTTGTATGAACCTGCCTCTATATATATATATACATACACACACACACACACACACACACATATATATATATATATATAGATGTATATATTATAGAGTCATATATAATCTGGAACAAATCAAACCACAATTTATGAGGAAAAAGGAATTACACAAAAATTTGTTGAAGGACAAAAAATGAAAACACACTTACAAGTCTATTAACGTTAGGGTAAAACCGTCCTACGAAAATTCATCAACAAAAAAACGATCAATCATCTACCCTACCTCTTACCAAACAGATATAAATTATCATCTCATCAACCATTACTCAACGCTTTGTATGTATTGTATGTATATCCTCCTGTTATCACAACACATTAACTTTAGAATTTCATATATAACATATATATATATATATATACCCCAACCATCAACATCGGTCTCGGAATGAGACGTGTGCAAATTTGTCTTTTCTTCTACCCCAAAGAGTACAGCGGTTCTGAAAACTGAGAGGCAACGATTTTGTTTACCCATAAAGTTTAAAGACCAAGAAAACGGAAGTGGAGAAAGAAAGACCATAAAAACATGGTGTGATAAAAGGCATGCTTGTTAGCAGCTTAATGGGTYARSTATACATGATTCTTTGGTAGTGGCTTAATGATATAGAAAGTGGTTTATTCARTAAGCTTCTAGAGGGAAATTTTATGCAGAAGGCCAAGTTTTTTTCCRAACATGCCCAATCCATCTATCAAAAACCCTCCCAATCAGACAGCCCCYAACTCTCGTTTCAGTTTTTGAAGACTAAAGAATGTTATTACAAGAGAGAACATGCATTACTATTGATTTGCCAAAAACAAATAAAAARGACAAACATATGGGCCGTTAACCAAAATTGGGTGAGCGCTAAGCCGCTAACTAGGTAAGAGTACAGGTGAACACTAATCACTCCAGGTCAGCATCATGGACCAGTATTAGCAGCTTAATGAGACTCATAGCTTATTCAGTCAACTATACATGACTCTTTCGTAGTGGCTTAATGATATACAAAGTGGCTTATTCCAAAAGCTTCTAGGGAGAGCTTGTCAAGTTTTTTCCAAACCTACCCCTCMCAATTAAAACACACGTTTGTCCCATCTATGAAGAACCACCCCTCCAAAAATCTCCCAAATATATACAGATAAATAAATCCACAAAGATAACTTAATCCATACATGACTTAATGAAAATCCCACCAAACAGAGGAACTCCAGTAAGAGGTGATAAACAGGTAGTAAACAGCCCTTTAGCATAAGTTTCTTCCCGTGGAAAAGAAACATACGCAATACTACATATTCTCTCTCCTCCTAGAGTTATAGTTGCACTCGATTCTTCAAAAATGTATGGTGGGATAAATGGGTAAATCTGACAGTTTTAGTAGATTTACTCGATCAAAAGAACTAGCATACATAAGGCATGTTAATTTAGAGAGAGCTCTTTAACCGTCTTTTCGTATCAGAAACGAAAAATTAAGAACAAGTAGCAAAGTACCTGCATTATTGCTGGACTTGTCGATGTATCTGAAGCAGCCAATCAGCATAGCCATTCATACCACCAACCTGGTCCTCGACTAAATTCAAGAGTAAAAAGAAACCTTCCCGAGGCTGTTCACCTTGTCTCACTAGATGACAAAGTTGATAATATGATGGATCAGCCTCTCTAAGTTTCTTTAGTATCCCCATCAGCTTTCTTGACATTTCATTGTCTCGTTCGCTCAGACACACCTGGCTCTATAAATATCAAAAACAGTCGATGTTAATTAATTTATTACAGCAGTCACAAAAAAAAGCCTGTCTAGATCAGAGGGATAATGAATTACTAACAAACTCAACCCGGTATATCCCACTCAAAAGTAGGGTCTGGAGGGCGAGGACGTACGCATACTTAACCTCTACCCCGAAAGGGTAGGATGTTTCCGTGAAGAGAGTGAATTACTCCCTCCGTCCCAAAATAAGTGTCTACTTTCCAATTCTATCCTTAATTATGAGACGGACAAATTTATTACTCTCTATTATTAAGGGTAAAACTGTCATTTGGTTAACTAAAAAGTGCAATACCTACACATTTATAAAATTGTCTTCTTTATTGACATTTATTCTGGGACGAAGAGAGTACTATGAGACATAAAAGGATGGGAAGTGATATATATAGGGTTGAGTTCTGGTGAGAAAGGAAGTTATGGAGAGAAGCATAAGAAGATATCTCCACCCTTGGATCAATCCTAATTGAATATCAACACTAATGAGGTGCACCGAGGTGCACCGAGATGCACCAGATCAATTCCCTTCTAAATGCAATTCATGAGTGGGCATGAGATTAAAAGTGATAAAGGGTTCAGATCTCTTCTTACGCTTCTCACATAACTTCCTTCCGCACACGATCCTTCACCTATATATGTGTGTGTGTGTGTGAGTGTCTCAAATTAGCAGGCTGTTATACTCCAGAAAGGAATCAACTTCCAAGACAAATGCTTATAGCAAAGAGTTGAACACARTTTTGGAGATCTGATTGGTCACATAAAAACACCAAAAGGAATTGTATTAAGGTTTTAAATTTATATTGAGCTACGATAGATGATGGTATTCTAGTAAGGTGTCTCACTTTTTTTGAAGTATATAATAATTATATACAGCAAAAGTCATACACACACCTCAACTTTGAAGCTTGAACCCTTCAGAGATAATAAAAAAGTATGATATTAAGAAAAGGGGGATTATTTCAATGCCGAAAAACAAATCTTTTTGTTATTTTGGGTCGATGATCCAGAAAGTCGTTAGATTGATACGGATGTTAGTAATAGCCAACACCAWTATGCAATTTATATGCGCTAGTATACTGCAGACATGCATACTTTTTGAGACATCATTTTTTTGCCTATGATCAGTATCTACACAAGAAAATTGTTTAAAGACGTGCAAAACCTACATGATTATATAAATGCATCAGAATGAAACAAAGTTTGGTTTGGTTCCTATTTAGTGTAACAAAGAATTACTTCTTACACTCGATGTAAAAAGTTTCCAATTTTGTACCTATCCATTTTGACCAGCTGCTAATCTTGTAATATTTTGTTACGTGGATACCCTATTACAAAATGCTTAGAAATAGCTTATGGCAAAGTGAAGGTTAAACTTAACCATCCACGTCATCAAATGTTACAAGATCATYAGGTTATTGATCAAGATGGGTAAAAAGTGAAATTTTGTTACATTAATTAGAAATTTTTTAAGACTTTGATACACTGATAGGAACTAAGGCAAACTTCGTAGAATGTCGATGCACTTTCYCCTTATAACTGAAAAAGGAGTATGATAGATAACATATAGATAGGTTAAATAAGCATACTTTTGAGAAGTCTGAAGCTGAATGTTCCTCGACTAAATTCCTGGCTAAATCAGGTGAAAGCATGCGACCAAACCACACAACAAAACGAAAACCGTCATCAAATATATAAATCCCTCTGGAATCTAAACTCTCAGCAACAAGTGGCAGTCTTTTACAAACTCTGTTAAAGTCATCATCCCGAGTAGGTGTCTGTAAATAAACAAAAATGCTGTCTATTTAACCCATGGATTTCAAAGTCAAGATATGAACAGCAGGAACGAGAAACTCAAAATGCGACAAAAATAACTTACCTTCACAAGATACTCGTCTACTCGTAACAAGCTAGAATATAAGAGCTTTAACATTTTTTTAACAGGTAAGGCCATCATGGTGAAACCCGCTGCACAGCGTTCATCAAGCTGCGCATCAGCATACCCACCACGAAGTGCAGTTGATTTACATAGTGATAGTCCGTATAACGGCAAATATTTCAGTGATTCTGGGTAGATCATCCTGTTTCCTACACGATGCTGTACCGCATAGAGTTTTCGATATTCTTTGAGGGCTTTGACAATTCTCAGTTGGATAGCATTACGAGCATCTTCCAATTTATACGACAAAGATTTTTCGATTGCTGCAGATAATTTCAGTTCATATTACAGAAATGGAGAAGTTAAAAGCAGGCATAATCTCAAGCTGATAATCGAACAAAAATCAGATTATTTTTCTTGTTCTTTTTTCTTTTTCGGAAAAAGAGACTTCTCTTACCTAATCTACCAAGCAAAGAGACAATAGCACCCGTATCTGCTTGGCGATACATCTCTCCTAAATCTGCAACCACCGATGCTGCAGCTGTGTGTACTCTAATACGCCTTTCACCACAAGACGCAGTGTATCTTTAGGTCGTTAAGTATTCATATATGTAACACCAGTTGGATATCAAAACATGCACAAGTGACATCCCACAATAAAAGACAATAACACAGCAAAATGTGTAAACCCTAAATCACAAGATAATGTGGAAATGAAGAATAAGAACAAGCACACATACGAAGCAAATATCTGCTGAAGGAATAAAGTTAATATCAAGAGTTATTTTGTAGATTATTCAGATCATGTTTCATATTTGACAAAGATGGCCCACAAAAGGATTACGGGCTTGTCCATTAGCAGCTTAATGAGCTCAATGGGATTCACAGCCTATTGGATCAGCTATGCATGACTGTTTGGTAGTGGCTAAATGATATAGAAAGTGACTTATTTAGGGGAAGCTTTATGCAAGAAGCCATGTTTTTTCCAAATTTGTCCCCTCAATTATAAAACACGCTCCTTCCGTCAATTAAAAAACTYTCTCAAATAAAAATCTTCCCAATCTATACAGAYAGATTAATCCACACAGACAACTTTATCCATACAGGACTTAATGAAAAACCAACCAAACAACCCCTAAACCAGGTAATTGAAATAATGTACAATGCTTATAGAACATGTTTATTATGAAATATGGAACTTGGAAACACCTAGAAAAAAGGATGTTGACTATTAGAAGCTAAAATCATATAGAAGTTTATTTGCGCATAAAATAAATTGTTTAGCAAACCTTAAAAACACAAAGAAGGAAATGAAATCCAGCAACTAATAAAAAGAATTGGAGGATACAGTAAAGCCACTTGGAAATACACAATCTGAGTTGTGAGCAGCGTCTCTTCAAGAGCAAACTGCATTGCATAAGCTTTATCACAGTCAACGGCTGGAAGTGCTAATAGATCTGTGGATCTTAGCATAAAGTTCCCATGATACGAAGTAAAACGCACTCCTAAAAAGAGAAATTTAAAAAAAAAAATCAGTCTTTTACTGAAATAACTTGCAATAACTTTAGTAGCATAAAAAGATCAACCTTGCTAGAAGCAATGACTTGCAAGTAGCACATCTCAGAACTAGACCAACCTTTTCCACATCTGATGCGCATTACAGCTTCCCAGGCAGTTTCTCTAGTGAGGTCTCTAGCCAACTCATGACTCAACTTGTCTTTGTGAATGACAGAATGAAAACTTGGATAATAATATACCTGGCCACCAGTGTATTTAGCCAAAGTACCTGCATGTAAACCAATAAGCAGTGTTGATCCTCTAAAAGACATAAAACTGATATGACAGTAAGCTTAGCAGACAGTGACAAAAATCAGCACTTCAACAGCCAACAGCTAAGAAGCTTATGAAGTGTTTTAAGAGACATTGTTTGATACTCCCTCTGTCCCAATRTAATGTCCACATTTCTATTTTAGTTGGTCCCAAAATAAGTGCCCGCCGTCAAAAGTAAGTGCCTACTTTTCAGTTCTACCCTTAATCATGAGATGGAGAAATCATTACTCCCTCTGTTATTAAGGGTAAAATCGTCATTTACTTAATTAAAAAGTGTAGTAATTACACATTAATAGAAGTGGTGTATGAAAAAACCATGCAGATGAAGATGATGGCTCTACAACTACATTCCATCTGTATAGCCAAATCTAACTCACACCTTGTGCTTCCGCTTTATTAGCATAAATCATGATGTTTAAACTAGACAGGTTGGTTCATGCAATAAAAGGGCCATGAATATCAACTAATCAATTTTTAAAAAAGAAACCAGCAAATTAAAAAAGAAACCACAGAAATCCAGTGAGCTTAAGCATAAACCCCCCAAGAAAGGGTAAATGAATTCTCTCAACAGCATGTGCAATCTTAGTGATGATCATTGGAATGTAGAATGAAGCACATACCTAGTGAAGCTATATCAGTATACTTGTCACTGAATGCATATATATTCACTGCAACCTGGAATTTAGTAAAATCAGCTGCCATCTGTTTATAGAATGGGTCTTCCGGTATTCTTAGGGCATGCTCCTTATCTGTTCCATAAACACGAAGATCATCTCCCCGCAACCTCAAGCCACCAACACCAAGTGAGGGAAGAGTACTCTGGAAAATTAACAATTTTCCTCCAAGTTGACTCTGCATATAGCACAGGAATTTATTAACAAATGATTGGTCCAGGTAGGTAACCTAATATAAGCGAAATTCACAATTGCCCARACATCATTAATAGTTTAATACAATAATATGTATTACATCATACTAGCAAGTTTACGTGGTGGACGTGAAGTCAACCATAAAGGTTCTAAATGGTACAGGACAGAAGAAACTTACCATAACCATAAACGCTGCTTTGAGGGCCGGCCCAAAAGCAGATTCCACATTAACATTATCCTGAAACATGGAAGGCAAGCTATCCAGGAAAGCCTCCACCACAGATCTAGATTCTGACAAGTTGACAAGGAGATCATCTGGCAATGGAATAAAAATATCATCCAAATCTGAGACGACCATCATTTGAGGCTGTGTCAAAGACGACTGGCGAAGGAAAAACAAAAAGGGTAGTTCAAAATCAGTGAACATTATAATAAGAAACATAATAGCCAGCTAACTATAAATCACTTGCCTTCATATTGTAAAAATGAATTGTGCTGTCAAAAGTTATGAACCCAATCTGTGTTCTGGGGGTGCCCGGCAATCTATCCAAGCAAGATTTTATAGTCCGCGCTATCACCTAACAAAATGCAAGTGACAAGAAATAATAACTCAAGTGGACTCTGGTATTCAATACGCATGAGCCGATCAAGCTGTAAACCAAGTTCAAAATACGGAAATACAAGCAGCATAATCGACGGATTAATTATGAACAAACATATCAAAAGATCCCACTTCATGACATAAGCTTTGCAACTATGGGCTAAAATCAAGAATCTGGAACCTAAACAAGAAAGACAGCTATAGGCATATATTCTTATATGACATGTACAAGCCAWGAACAATCCATTCATGTGTATGAGTTCCCAAGAATATACAAAGAAAAACCTTACCTCGAGTGTTCCATTTTTAACTGCAGATATTGATACGTCGATCATAAAAAAGTACAGTGGTGGCATTGGAGGCCGAACCATGTATTCAGCTGGAGCAACAAATTCCACGGAACCCCTTATAAGCTCAGGATGTTGATCTAGATCAATTCTTTTTCCATTGGCRTCCAAAGGAGCAAAATAATCATTTTGCACTGTATATTATAGATGGAAATTGTTTAGCATGAATGCATAATTGTAATAAGAGTTCCATATACAACAGAGAAGAATCAATAATCCTCTTTAAACTGAWGCCAAAGCAGCATTAAGAACAATTTGGCACATTATTGAAGAYACATGTGTTTATAGACCGTCAATATATTAAATATATACACTTCACAAGTGTGCTAGGATGTGCGGCAACAGATTTTGAGTACTTAAAAATTGTTTCGGATAATAGATTTAGAAGCATAAGGCTGGAGACAATGTTTCTAGCTTTCAAAAAGTAAGCAAACACTAAGAGTGCATCTATTCACCATAACATCGATGGGTTACCAAACGCCAACGTAAAAGCAGGGAGCATATTAACTGAAAAATATCAAGTCAGTCCCCATGGCAGTAAGAAAGATAGCTTTGATTCACATTGCACGGAAAAGTTTTCATTTACATAAAAACCTCACAAAGAGATAGTTGTTCCTCTTGTTTTATATAAAATTGATAGATCTAAAAGATAAAGAAAGAACTAGAAATTAAAGATACTTGTAAGCTMTGCACACTAACCACTATTCACAACCAATTGTAATCACTGGAAGGATGGTAGCAGCAATAATAGTTCTACAGTTCAAATTTTACACCACAGAACAATTAGAATGTAAAATTAGCTACAACATCCAAAAGCAGAGAAGGTTACCTTAAATTATTAAAGTACAGGGCAATATATATTGTGATAACATCATGGTATCAAACAGCCGGTGATGAATAAAATCATAAAACACKCATAACAAAAAAAATTAGAACTTGCAACATATACGGTTTTACTGTGTGGTTACACATCTTAAGAACAAGACATAATTGCAAAATCAAAAAGGACATCTTAGTAACCTCGATTAATAAGTAAAACTCTATATCCCTATACATAATAAGAGTATTGTTCAAACAACAAATGCCAATTTTGAAAAACAGTTCATGTACTTCTATAATGAATTCAAAGTATTACCATCATTAAGCAAAGCACATATATTGCACCTCCACTTTCTTCCACCATCTGTAAAAGTCACATATGGGTTCACATATGTACGGCATCTTCTACAACGAACAATGCCTGTTGTGGCAAAATTAACTATTGGAACTTCCTCCTGGACAATAAACAGTTCAAAAGTAAAATAATTGTTTTATTGAATATCACATATAATACTTAGTTGCTCCGAATGCATAAACACTCACCCCCTCAGGAGCTTCTGCTAGGGGACAAACAACTGCTCCAAGAGGCAACTGCCACCTCGAAACCAGAGACTGTGAATTCGGTATAGCACTGGTCGTGAGTCGTAGATATCTAGAATTGCAATTCATGGGATACATCCCAGCAAAAGAACTTGGTTCTACGTCCCCATCCAGTGGTCTTGGCAACATTTTAGTATCAAGCCCAACATCAAATGATCCAGGAGTAGATCCTAGAGAAAGTGAGCTGAAGTCTTCTACCAAACCCGACACACCTCCCGTAGGAGGTGCGGACCCTCCTGCATACATTCCTGATGAAGATGCAACTGGTGGTGCTGATCCATATGCACCTTGATGAGAAGAAAAAGGAGCATTTGCAGTGGAAAGAGGTGGGGCATAGCCTCCTKGATGAGAAACTGGTGGTGGTGGCGGTGGTGGCGTTACTGTGCTACCCTGTATACCTGGATAACCAGGTAAAGCAGATGGTGGAGAGGCCTGAACAGCACCAGRATAAGGCAGTCCCGTTGAGGGCACAGGTTGCTGCATGTTTGGCCTGGAAGCAGAATATGGTGAATCTGCATATGACATTGGAGGATTACTGCTAGAAGAAACACTATACAAGCTTTGAGGTGGAGATCCCATTGGTACTGGTGGTATCTGGGGCTGACGATTTAGGGAAGTCGACATTGATGGAACATGACCTGGAGGAGGAGGTCTCATTGTTGGAGGCAATATAGGCTGCCCCACAGTGGAAGTTTGTGGTGGGGGTGCTTGAGGTGTTGAGGGAAACTGTGGAGTTGGGAACCGCTGGACAGGTCCTGTCATTGGTGGGCCATAGGAAGCAGTAGGCCTACCTGGTTGCATGGGTCTAAAACCAGGAGTCCCAGCTCCACTAGCAGGCCCAGAAGGAAAAAATGGAGTTGCACTTGAAGTAGCAGGCACTGTACTCATAGAAGCAGAGATTGATGTTGGCCTGAAAGCAGAGGCCTCTGATCCAACCACCGGATGAGATGAAGAAATGGGCATGTTGCTTCTAGGAGCCGCAAAAGGAGTAGCAGTTGTCCCTTGATAAGTATTTGCACGGTCAGGATTTTCAGTCCCCATTGCTTGCATATGTCACACTATATCACGTTATTGCTAGGTTTCCATAAATGATCTGCAAGAAAATGCAATTTGAAGTGTCCCATTTTTTGGATGGATCCCAAAATCAATTCTACATCATCTTTCTGAAGAAGAATAAGATAAAGTAGAGTGAATGTCTGTAACACACAGCATAGACATGCATACATTATTCATACAAGTAAAAATTCYCTGACTTTTAGTAATTTTTCTATCGTCCACTTATGTGATACGGAAGTTTTTCAACATATTCACTTCCCAGAAACTATTTCTTCATGTGTTATATCCATGTGCAAAGTGCCTCTTTATGCATCCATGAATCCCATTTCTGATATGTGCATATATGCATGTGGAAAGAGGGAGGAAAGGGCAGTTAGAAAGTTTCCTAACCATCTTCGACAGCTAATTGCAATGTTGAAAGAAATGACAAGTGCACTTCGAAAACAAAGAGCTTTTATCCAATATTGGTACCCTATCATGTCAATTTCACAAAGCTTATTTCTCTGTGAAAGTAAAAAACCTTTTTTTCTAGTCATTTAATTTCTTTGGCATTTGAGTCCAAAGTTGTAGCTTTTRAGCAAGAATTCTAGAGGCCAGATGCATAAATATGAAGCTTTTAGGTAGAAAGATGATAAGGGGCTAGAATAAACAAGCACCGAGATAAACTTAGGAATACCATTTTGTAGATTTCACAACCAGAGGTTCAAATATCAAGGCCTGGAAGCTGAAGAACATGTATCCCCTCCATTCTGAAGATACAGTGAAATTTACTAGGATTTATAATCCAAAATGCTTATTTTAAAATTCAAAATTTATGTAGAAAATACTGACAAGTAAAAATAACCATAACAAACATAAGGAGTTCGATGGAAGGCCCGATGTTGTTCAGATGTTGCAAACATTCATAAAGATGAATTATAAGCAATGAAAAATCAAAATTGACATGATGTGATGTTCAATTCCGYATGTACTCGAATTTTGAAGCAAATGAGTTTCGATTACAATTAGAAAAAGGACTCCATGGCTCTGACATAAATGTCGCAAGTTTTGCTGTTTTGATTCGTTAACTGACGATCTTTAACTCACGTTAGATTTATATCCATRGCACTTGCGAAACCATTCAAAAGCTAAACCAATTATATTTCAAATGCTGCTAGCATGCATTAATTCAAACTATACGATGGAATCAAATTTGGGATGGCATCAGGCATTAGCAGTCAATCGCCACATGACTAACACCTGTCTCCAACAACAAAACCGAATTAGTAAAATAACCCAATTAGCCGTCAATTCGGCAACCAAATTCCTACCAATCTTTTAGCAAACACAAAATCAACAACCCTTCGGCAATGTCGTCAACGATTATATGAATAATTACCTGATCAGAAGAGATCTAACAGAATAATGGGCAGACCAGAGTTGTATCGAGGCGGCGGATGGCGATCGGCGATGAAGATGACGATGAATTCTTGCTCTCTCTCTCTCTCTCTCTCTCTCTCCAGAAAACAAAATGCAAATAAAAACCTAAAAACGGAGAATCGTTATATGTGTAACTGTAATTGTTATCCCAATTACTTCACAGTGAAATCGATTGGATTGGGGAAGAACCACCGTGTAAACCTTCGATTACTTTTATCTTTGGGAAATCGGGTGGTAGATTAGGAACCCTAATCGATTCATTGAGTCATTGGGCGTGTGTGAAAGGTGAAAGAAAACACAGTTTTTACAAGCAATTTCTCAAAATGATTATTCTGTATGATCACACCATCAATTTTTCAATTTAATAATGATAAATATATGGTTAGGTTTACGTTATATCAGTTTTCGTGAGATAATATTTTTATATTTGAAATTTTATAATAAAATATTATGAAAATAAAAAAAACTGAATTTTTACAGTAAAAATACTTTGAAAATTATTTTTACAGTATTTTATTATGGAATTTCAAATGTAAAAATGTTGATTTTAAATATAAAAAAAATCTAAAATATAATTAGGATAATCATTAAGTTATAACAGAATCATTATTTTTATAATAATTATATTGTTGAACCAAAAATAAATTACTTTGCTATTAGACCTAAATTAAATTATAATAAAAATTGAATTAAATAAATTGTACAAAAAACAACAACTTTTAAATAGTTAATTTGATATTAATATCGATATATTTTTTCAAATTTGTATGATATATTAAAATTTATTTTTATTCAAGAGTAAAAACACCATCTTTCTCAAAACCACATAAATCGTTTTATATCATCTAAAATATAATTAGGATAATCATTAAGTTATAACAGAATCATTATTTTTATAATAATTATATTGTTGAACCAAAAATAAATTACTTTGCTATTAGACCTAAATTAAATTATAATAAAAATTGAATTAAATAAATTGTACAAAAAACAACAACTTTTAAATAGTTAATTTGATATTAATATCGATATATTTTTTYAAATTTGTATGATATATTMAAATTTATTTTTATTCAAGAGTAAAAACACCATCTTTCTCAAAACCACATAAACTGTATTATATCAACAAAGACAAAAAATAAAACAAGACATTGAAATAAAAATATATCTCGTTGTATTGTACGGGTACCCTTCTATTTTTTTTTTTAAACATAAGATGAATACGGATAACATCAAAAACTAMGTTGAATACTTAGAAATTTGACAAAAATGGGACCCAAACCTGGAGGGTTTGTAGAAATCGGGCAACATTTACCAACTCCACCGTTAAATTTAAACAACAAACATGAAGGCATCCTTCAAAAACAATGACACCTTTTATGAWCGTAATTTTTTTCCCTTACGATGAAACATTAGCCTGTACCATCGTATCAGGTATGTAAACTTGCCCCGTGTGACTGGGAAAATTGTAGGTATTTGAAAAAATTGTATCCAAAATAATAAATAACGTTGTTATACTTGTTTGGTATAAATACTTTTTTTTTATCAATTATTTTGATCATAAATATATCAAAATCACAATTATATATATACTATGTTATAAAACATTTGACAAAAACTCTTAAAGACTATTTTTTATGCATGAAGTATTGTGTATTAATGGATATTACTTAAATTTTAAGATTACAAGTAAATTGTGCGTATGTACACCTTATTAAAGCTCCATTTTTGAATTCATAGAACTAACTCCAGATAAACATAATCAAATACATGATAAACATCTCATTTTAAATATAAAAAATCTAAAATATAATTAGAATAATCATTGAGTTCTAACAGAATTATTATCTTCATAAATATTATTGTTAAGCCAAAAACAAATTACTTCACTAAATCGTAAAAACATTATTTTTCTCAAAACCACATAAATCGTTTTATATCAACAGAGATARAAACACAAACCGAAACAGTAGGATGAAGATATATTTCGTTGCATTGCGCGAGTACCCTTCTAGTTTATATTTAACGATTATAACTAAGTTCAAGTTTACGAACATTGTATATTATTCTAAATTAATATCTATAGATTGTGGTTATGTTTGAAAGTTAGTTGATTATTGAGAAGTTAGCTGATAGTTGATAAGCTATCTGATGAACAAAATTATATTTGATAAAAACTAGCTTATAAGCAGACAAAATGACCAAAAAAGACATCTTCAAAAATGATTGATTACAAATATTTCATAATATAATCCAAATAATTTCTAATAATATAATATGTTAATTAATACAAACAAGATAGTAAAAAAAAAAATTAAATAATATAACATGTTGAATTAGAGAATTAAAATTGATTATTGTATATATATACTATAAATTTTGAAGTTGTTAAAACAAATTTTATAAAAAAAAATTACATTAATCTATAATTTTAAATAACTATATGAATAACAGTGACATTAGTCAACCTCACATATCATAAATTCGATTATGTGATAAAAGTTTTTTTTTTTTTTTGTAGGTTGTTTCTCTCCATCTGACTGGTATTTTAGCTGGAAAAAATGTGTTTTGTAGCGGGCAACTATCCACCACGGGCAAAGTCTTGTGTCGTGGATTTTTAGTGTTTTAGGGGTTGTTTGGTTAGAGTTAGGAAATAAAAATGGTAGGAAACGAAATTGAAAATGAATTTTCATTATTCAATTAATAACTGTTTTATACCTGTAATCAAACATCCTCTTATTTTTAATGTATAGTTGTAGTAAAAATGGGGTTCTAATATGCATTGGGGTTATCATTTTATGAGCATTTCCATTAACTATTATAAAACAGAGTTTACAAGTTCTTTTCTCTAACAGTTATGCTAAAATATACGTTAAAAATCGACAAAAAAATAAAAAGATAAAATCTCCAAGTTTTCACAGATATTTCTAATCTAACTGAAACAACGATCATAATGAATGAATTTATCAACTTCTATAAATATTTCAATTGTTTCCATGGTTATCATAGTTTATATTGGTTTGTAAGCATTCCATGTGTTTGTATTTTAAACTCCTTATTCAAAATTAAGGGTTGGGTTTCAGTGAGAATGAGAGTTAATGCGAGAACCATAAGAAGAAATATCCACCATTAGACGCACATTATGATGAGATGCACCAGATCAATCCCTATTTAAAGCACGATTCATGAATGTGTTTGAGATTAAAGGTGATCAAGGGTCCAGACCCCTTTTTACATTTCTCACCTCAACTATCTCTCCTACGCAATCTTTTACCTTCAAAAACATGATGTTCTTTTTCAAATGAATACTCACCAAGGTATGATAAATTTGCATAACGAGCATCCAATCCGAATGAGAACTAAATCAAAATAACGCTTGTTTTTATAAGACAAATTAAACAGTCACATATTAAATTTTATATAGTAATTACTGGTATGTAATTAGATAAAAAAAAACATATCGATAATTGTATATAGCACACTAAACGAACCAATTATATCCACTCGGAATTAGGGTATGGGAGGAGCAAACTTTCTTTATGGTAAACATGGGTGTTCGGTGCAGCTTACACATACAAACTAACACCTCATGTGACCACTAATAACCCRAAATCAACACAGGTGACCGACCTTATGGCCACAAAGGCTTTGATAGAGTCTAGATTCGAACTYAGGGAAGATGAGATTTTGATTACATCCCCTGAGCGAGAAAAGACAAACTATTATTAGAAAGTTTTCATCAACATAATTAAAATGACACCAAAATATGAAGTTTATTAATTTCTAATTTTTACTTTTATATATTTTTATTATTAATATTTATAAGTTACATAAATTAACCAAAACATAAAAAACGTATAAAAGTAATATCCTGCGGATAGTAAAGTGAAAGTTAAAAATAAAATACAATAAATAAAATTTAAAGAGGATGACATACTTGATGTTTTAGAAGGGAAATATGTTTTATTTTAAGGGTATATTGGTAAATCATAGATTTGTTCCACCTTGTTCCATGAAGTACGGGTGGAACACATATGTTCTATTTTGTTTATATATGTTCTATATAAAAGTCATATCGAACGTAGAACAGACATTTAATTCAAATATTTATTATAAAATTAATATTTTATATTTAAAAATAAAAACGTATTATATTTTAGTTTTTAGTGATAGAAATTTATTTTTAAAGATAAAGTCGAGTATAATTATCTTCTTATTTAAGYGTGTAGTTTTATGATACTGAAACAAATTATATACACCTTTTAATAAGTTAACAACTCGACTTCTAGTCCATTATTTTCTTAATTGGCATCAAGCTTGAAACTCGGGGGGTGCACATTRGTTGAGCTAGACGTTTTGAAGGAATTTAAACAACTCAACTCAACTACGTTGGTTTCAAAAACAGTAACCCATTTAACTGTTTTTAAATTTATAATCTGACCCATTACATGTTGACTGGATTGGATGGTTTGAACGTATTTGATACATGATTATATTACTGTCTCAAACCACATACACAAAAAAAAAGTACTAATCATTGATGTTTAACCACATAAAAAGTATTACGACTATCCAAGTTTATTTATAATTATCTAAACATAAATATAAGTGTCAACATAGGCGGACCTAGGAACTTTTTCAAGTGGTTACACCATTTGACAATAAGAAACAAAKATATRGATAATTTYCATGAAATCATCATTGGTTTGTTGGTTATTTATTTGCTTTTCATATGTGAGGTCATATGTTCGAGTCMTTCATTGCAATTCTTTTCCCAGAAACAGAATACATATGAAATCAAAAGTTAAAACTAAGAAAAYGACACAAACAAGATTCAAACCTGTGTCTAGGATCGGAGAAAAGCTATGCAAATCAACTATACTAAAAAAAACTTGTGTTATGACTTATGATTGTAATTTCAAAATATATACATTTACACATGAAAAAAGCGTTGGCCTGTCCCACCATATCCAATCGAGTGGAATCTGCCCCTGAGTGCCAATATATTACATGCTCTAACCACGACAATTCATTTCACCAAGTGGTTGCTTACYCGGTAAACACTTATCAGTAAGAGTCAACACTTTAATTTAACTCATCAAGTAATATTTTAGTCCATTAAAACAAAATCGTATGCTACAATCTTTTTTCCGGTAAACATTTTTTTATTAGCAACTTAATGAGTTTAATGAGACTCACAAGTTATTCAGTTAACTATACATGYTGTTTAATGATGAATTAATAACATAAAATTGGTTTATTCAGTAAACTTTAAAAAAAACTATTCTAAAGAAAAAAACCTGTATGAATCTATACAGATAAATTAATACACTCACGGATTTATCAAAAGAGAATACTCATATTWAAGTAGGCCGTTAAATTATTATTTGAACTTCAAAAATTCAAAATATATAATCAAACTTTTGTAACGCGACCTCACAAAACTGATGCAGTATAGGATTTAGCTACATCCAAACACACCAAAATGGTCTAATTGCCTTAACGTTTTTGATTGTGGTAGAATGTCTGCAGAATCGCAAGAGCCAAGATGCTTCATCAATTTTGTTCATCCAAGTACTCTCTCCAGATGACGATCGCTGTGTGATTCGATATTCACAGATCGACGCAGAGGTGATAGAAAGGTATACTCGTCGCTGTTCCTTCATCACGCTCACACTTAGATCACACACAATAAGTGTTTATGTCGTATCTGCTTTTGATTTGGGGCAATTTCATGAAATTACGCTAGTATAGTTGTATAAGTGAAGTTTTATCTCGATCGGAGATATGGATTTGATTCGCTTGAGCTGAAGTAAGTTTGATCTGAAATATCGTTACTGTTTCAAAAGGAAACAAAGGAGTTAGGTTTGATTGTTTGAAGTTTGATGCCAAATMTCTTGTAAATCGGAATTAAAAGAAATAAACCCCTTTAGTGTTTGGGAGCAGTTCTCACTTACTTAATTGAAGGCGAACTAATGGCTTATCAAGCGTGGTTTCTGCTTAAACCCGTATAACGCTTTCTTAAGCTTGTAAACCTTGTGTTTTTTCACCTTTTTGTACATATCCTTGTGGTTACTTCACGTACACATCCTCATTCAGCTCACCTTGTAGAAAAACACTTTTGACATAAGTTGGTACACATCGCAACTCTTTTGTGCTGCTAGAGCTRGTACCATTCAGATAGTGCCCCACCTTGTACCTTGTTCTGGAGCGGAGGTTTTGGATAATCTGTTCTGTGCTGTGAGCACAGCCTTTGCCACCAAGCRGGCTTTGTACTTAACAACTTAAGGGCTGTTTGGTTGGTTTTACATTATGTCCTGTATGGATAAAGCTGCCTGTGTGGATTAATCAATCTGTATAGATTGAGGAAGTYTTTGTTTGGGATGTTTTTTTTCATAGATGGAAGGCTCATGTTTTTTAATTGGGAGGGGGACAGTTTTGTGAAAAAMTTGGCTTTCTGCATAAAGCTCCCCCTTAAAAGCTTACTGAATAAGCCACTTTCTATATCMTTAGMGGTTGCCGAACAGTCATATATAGCTGTTTGAATAAGCTGTTAGTCCCATTAAGCTCATTAAGCTCATTAAGCTGCCAACAAACAGGCTCTTAATCATTTTCATTTAGATTGATCTTGAAGACCCGTTTCACACCAATCTTTTTAGTAGTAAGCTGCCATGTTTTATTCGTCTCAATTGTTTTGATCTCTTAATTCATTGCGTTTCTTCATTTGGGATCCTTTTCAGCCTCTTCAAATGAGCTAGGATCATCAATAGTCGTGAACATCCCAATATTATGCACATCTTCCTCCACGGAAAATCCTTCACCCCTCACGTTGTGTCCTCAAATTTTTCCTTCATTTGGATATAGACAGGCACATCAAATGAACCACTAGATGTTAAAGATGTTTCACTTGCTTCTTGATCTGGTACCTCTACATGGCTCTCAACTTTATGAGAACTCATCTTTTTTTTTTTTTTTTGGGAAAAGTTCACCTAGACAATTCCTAGACTACATCGTGGCAAATTGTGGCCGTCTGAGASTACGCCTGGCCACAAGATGCTAGCGCCTGGACTCGAACCCTGGGTAGAAGGGATWTTCCACCACATCCCCCTATGCCTTTTGCTCTTCAATACCACTTTCTCCCCAGTCTAACACATCAAGTTTTTTTCCCTCAGCGTTCTTCCCCAATTCCAACCTTTAGCGACTGCGGTTCCTACCAAGCTCTGATGCCATAATTGTTGTTCTGAACTGGAATTCAAAGAAATAAACTTAGTGTTTGCAAGCAATTCTCCCCCACTTGACTGGAGGCCAACTAATGGCTTATAAAGCTTTACAAGATAAAAAAAAAGAAACAACCTATTTGCACTAAGAACGTGGTATCTAGTTACAGAAAGAGTCAAGTCCTACTTAGTTTATTAATTAAAGTCCGATAAATCAAACTGAACTTTAACATAAACATTTACATCCAACAAAACCATGGTCCTATGAAAATTGATATGTTGTACTTCCACAACAGCAACTGATAAAATGATGCGAGTGTTAAATTTATATGAACTGTGCTAGGTTGACATTAAAATGCTATGCGTAGCTCTCTTTCTAGGACAAGGGGTATAAAGCGATCACTACAAACATATACTAKTTTTAGTCTAATTTTGTTTTCATAAACACTTGTAGTTGTTTAAATCCCATCTCTGGAAGCCTGTGAAACTGAACACATAGTTTAACTGTAGAACTTTGAGTAGTTTACCATGACCATTGGACTATGCTTAACATTGTGAATATGTAGCCGTACACACACATAGGCGGTTCGAGCTCAGATACAAATTGTCATTGATAGTCATGTGGGATATTATTTTCTGAAGGCAACTTGGTTCTTGGCTAATGAAAGGTCTGAATAATTTATATCTTGTGCCTTCTTAGATGGAACAATTTACTTGTTAGTGTTGCAACAGTACAAGTACTTGGATTGTTATTAGGACCTGCCAGATTTAAATAAGAATACTTAAAGGAAGTTACGTTAATTATTTTAATTCTACAGCATGATGTTCTGATATTTTGTTTTGAATGGTGATGAAATGAATCATTTGTTTTGTTCAAAACCTTGTATAGATTAATTCTACTTAACTTCTTAGTCTAGTTTATGTGAATTGACGTTTTGAGTGAATCAACATTATGTCACTTCTGTATTRATCTAAATATTGCTATTCTACAGTTTATTTTTTAATTTGGCTGTTTATACATGCTTACAAAATCAGTAGTACTTTATCTTTCAGCCTTGGTGATAACTTGGAAACTTAGATTTAATTATCATGACGAGTGACGACTTTTAGTAATATTTTGAACCTAATCTGCTTCTGGACCTCGATTTGGAATCAAAGTATAGAAACTGCATAATATTGTTGWTTCAACCTTTTACCATCCCAAGGCACACTGCACCTGTTCAGATCTTCATTCTTCTATAGTTTTCTTTTAGAAATGTGCTAGTAGAAAGAGGCGTAGTTTATGTATCAATTGTCTAAACTTATTTGCATATATTACAGAGTTCTAAATTTAACATAAATTTGACAAATAATCACAAAATTTAATACAATATATTTGTACCCAAGGAGGAACTGTTTTACATRATAAATCTATGCTTAAAAAGAACGAAAAAATATCCCCTCCTAAATATAGTAAAGATTGGATTAGATTACCTAATAGTAGTGTTATATCTCTTCTTTAGGCTTCTTGATGTAATATATATATTTTGTAGAAATATATATATATATATATATATATATATATATATATAGCATCAAAAGAAGCCCAAAGAGGAAATACTAACACTACTATAAGGAAAGCTAATCCAAACTTCACTATATATGACATCCCCAAACATATTAGAGCTTTGCTGGCCGAGGATGGGGGCTGTGGCCGTCCATCCCATCCAGACCTGTCTAAATCCACCCTCGCATATAGCTTAGAAATGGTTTGTCTGGTACTGGTATCAACTTCACGAACCAACCAATGGGCCACGATAAGGCTGCAATTGCTATACAAATTCCCCACTGTTCCCAATTTAATTTCTCTGTATCTGCGAAATTCTTTAGGAACTCCACCATCACCACCTGAAGAACGATAGTTGCCCCAATAATTCCCATAAACAAACGATTCTTATGAAGACCTTCAAATACATTCCTCTTCTCCAGCTTCCTTGCGTTGAATTCATTGAACACTTGGCAGAGTACAAAAGTATTGAAGATAATGGTGTTTTTCACTCTCTCATTTACATTGAAGATTGATCTGCCTTTGAACTGGAAGGTCAACAGAACAGCTATCTGATACAGAGATTGTGCCAATAAGTTCCTCCACATAACATTTGTTATAAGGGGCGCAACTCTACCCACTGGCGGCTTGTTCATGAGTTCTTTAGTGGGCTTCTCTGTGGCAAGTGCTAGAGCACCTAAAGTATCCATGATCAGATTGACCCACAACAGTTGAACCGCTGTTAGGGGAACTTCACCAGCAGAAACAGCTGCAACAAAGTTGATAACAAGAGCTGCAACATTCACGGTTAGTTGAAACTGAATAAACTTTTGGATATTGTTATACACACACCGGCCCCACCTTAACACAACGGCTACAGAAGCGAAATCATCATCTAAGATGACAATATCTGAGCTTTCCTTAGCCACCTCAGTGCCTTGAATCCCCATGGAAAGCCCAATATCTGCTTCTTTAAGAGCCGGTGCATCATTTGTACCGTCGCCTGTGACTGCAACCACATGACCTTTCTTTTTTAGACACTGAACCATTAGAAGCTTGTCAAAAGGAGAGGATCTTGCCATTACTCGAATAATATCAACTTTCTCCATTCTCTCCTCATCTGTGTAATTACGAAACTCCTCACCTTCTACTACTTCTCCTTTGCTTACCAATTGATCACCTTTAAGTATACCACATTCTGTGGCTATGGCTTTTGCTGTGAAAACATTGTCTCCTGTTATCATTTTAATATCCACCCCAGCAGACCTGCACTGGTCAATGGCTTCCTTTACCCCTGGTCTACATGGATCTTTGATTCCAACGATGCCCAATAATGTCAATCCTTCTTCATTTAGTGTTTTGTAGTTGGTACCATCTTCGTTGTGTTTCAGCTCATTTTCTGGAATCTGCATATGAGCAAAAGCGATGCACCTAAGGCTACTTGCTGCCATTCCTTCAATTATTTTCTCAATGCGTGTCTTTTCATCATGATTTAAAGACTTTTTAAGGCCGGTTTTCTGATAATAGTTTGAACACATTGCTAGTACCATCTCAGCAGCTCCTTTCCAGTGCACATGTATGGTATTGTCTTCTTTCTTCCTAATYAAGACGCCACTCCGTTTCTTCTCCGAATTGAAGGTTTCAACATGAAGGATGGTGGAATCTTGTTTCAGTTTCTCCATATCCATTCCCAAATTCGTGACCGCCCACGAAAGAATTGCTTTTTCAGTTGGGCTGCCGGAATATTCAGATGTGTTTCCTGAAGCTGATTTGTAAACGCTACCAGTAGTGTTTAAACCGACCCCTTGATGGTAAAGTTGAAGGACTTTTGCATCTATGGAAGAATCATCTTCTATGTGATCAAGGCCAAGCCAAAATTTCGTAACTTTCATTAGATTCATGGTCAAAGTCCCTGTCTTATCGGTGCATATAACAGTGGCTGAACCCATGGTCTCACAGGCGGACAACTTCCTGACCATAGCCTGATCAGCCATCATTCTCTTCATAGAATAAGCAAGTGTGAGTGTGACGGCTAGCGGCAGGCCTTCAGGGATTGCCACCACTACTATCGTTACTGCCGCCGCGAAAATACYTGTAACGGAGTTGAGTATCTCATTCGTATTCGTGCGTCGCCCATTGTATTCCCGGTTGCCATCCTCATCTTCCGTATTTCCAGTGAAATAGCGGATTAACATAACCACAAGAACAAGAAAAGCAACTGCAAGACCAACCTTTCCGATTGAAGACGTGAGTTTATTGAGACGGGATTGCAGCGGCGTTTGCTCATTGGAATCACCCGTAATCGAGCTCATCATCTTCCCCCAAGCTGTGTTCATTCCGACGGATATCACAAGCATTTGACCATTCCCATCAGCCACTTTCGAACCAGAGATCAAAAACGGATGCCGAATGGCATCAATGTCTATATGATCACTCTCTCCGGTCATGCTCGACTCGTCCACCAGCAACGAATGCCCATCTATGAATAACCCGTCTGCCGGGATTTGATCTCCGATATTAAGAACCACCACATCCCCAACCACCACATCAAAGATTGATATTTTTTGCCTCCGACCTTCTCTAATAGCATCTATCTTTATATTGTTGCTTATTTTCGACAATCGGTCAAACTGTCTCTCTTGTCTGAAATTACTAACTGCAGATACAGCAATTACCAGAAATACCGCCAGAAAGATACTGCCGCCCTCATACCACCCTTCTTTCGCTCCTTCTTCTTTGATACCGAATCCAAGAGAAAGGGCGGCACACGCTAGCAGTATGAGAATGGTGGTGTCTTTAAAAGCCTCCACCACRAAATAAAAGAACCCTTTTGGCGGTGGCTTCTTGTACGTATTTGAACCAAATACAATCTTCCTTCTGTCGGTATCTTGGCCATTAATCCCATTTTCGAGATTGGTCTGAAGAGCTTCAGCCAATCCCACCACACCGTTAAACTTGCCAACGATCTCCAAGTCTTTGTTTTTCACCAAATCACTGAGCTCAGATTGGTCAATGCTCGAGAACCYGTCACTATGATCAACAGGATGATTAGTAGCTTTCGGGATGATCTTAAGAGCAGTATACGAAGGTCCTGCTACTATCTCAGATATCGGGTATTGACTTAGTTTCTTGGAAATTTTGGCTATCGATAACATAGTGTTTGAGAAATAAATCGAAAAGTAAGCTAGACGCCATCTTTTCTGGGCTTTCGTAAGCGTTATCGTGCTTATGTTATGTAACATRGCCCCAATGTCGAACTGTGACTGAATTTCGCTAACCATTTTCGGTATTTTTCAGATTTTGAAACGAAAAGCAGAGGCAAAACAAGGCTCAGTGTAGAGAGATGAGATGAAAGATATTCATTCTGAATGGATTCAGTCTTCATCCTTTATAGTAGTCGAAGAAAGCTTATTAATGCTTTGGGAAATTGCCGGGAAAATGCTCTCAGATTAAATAAAACAGGTTAGCTCCTCTTGTATATATCTCATCATATAACTGTATCGCAACGATATGATTAACATCAACTTATAACGTAGAAGCCAGTTTATATAAATAATATTAATATATTTAATTAACTATTAATAATAGTATTATAATAATTATATATATTTTTTATGGAAATGAAAAGAAATATTTGTCATAAGTTTCAAATTTCGAAGGTTTTTAAAGAGTAATTGTTACAGTTTTCAAAGAGTAGATGGAAAACGGTTTKAGTGTTTAATTAAGCAACCAAAGTCGGGGTGAAAGTTTCCCTTTCCATACACAAAACTAGATCTTAGGTGGAACAATATTGGATAAAGACATAAAAGTATTATTTTATTAAAAAAAATAAAATTATATATCTATTTTATACTATATTATAAAACATTTGACAAAAACTCTTAAAAACCATTTTTTATACATGAAAGTACTATTTATTGATGCATACTACTTTAAATTCAAGATTACAAGTAAATTRTGCGTAAGTACAATTTATTAAAACTTCATGTTTGAATTCGTGTAACTGACTGTAGAAAAACATAATCAAATATAGGATAAATATCTTATTTTAAATATAAAAAATCTAAAATATAATTAGGATAAGTTCTAACAAAATACTTAATTATTAATTTCATAAAAAGTTATATTATTAAACCAAAAATAAAAAAATGAATTAAAGAAAACACGAAAAAAGAAATTATAAATAGTTAGTTTGATATCAATATTAATATTTTTTTTTTCAATTTTTTATGATATATCTTTATATTTATATTTTCTTTTTCTCAAAACAACATAAAACCGTATTATAACATTGACTGAGATAAAAAAAATAAAAATAAAATATTAAAATCGAGATTTATCTTGCTGTATTGTGCGAGTACTCTTTTAGTATAATATAAACATATGAGAGTAACAGCTATGATAAGAATGGTGAGACTATGTGCTTTTGAACGAGTTGACTTTCTAATCTAACTCAATTTCTTCAACTGTATTCACCTATTTTTATCTTTATTTTTAAGTCACTTTCATGATCTTTTTACACATATTTAATCACTTTCAGATGCATAAATTTGTTAAATTTTCGATCGTGATGATAAAAATAGGTAAATAAATGTAGTTAATGTAGATGAAGGCATGTATATATATCAATATAAATAATATATATATATATATATATATATTGTAAATTATAATTTTATTTTTTATAATCATCTAAACAACATCTTAAGGCAACCTACTCATTATCTTGTCTTGTTTTAGTCAACATATCAAACGTATGACAAACGATTAATCATACCATCTGTTGTTCTGTCTAATCCTATCTTTATTTAATATGTGGATTAAACGTAAAATTACCTCAATATTAGCCTAGGTTATATGTGTTATAGTAACAAAGTTTTGAAAATCATTAGGTCTTTTAGTAACAAAAGTYCTTTCGCCTAGCGGTATCGTAGTCTTTKRCCTYCTAAAAGGTCTARAGTTCRAATCTTACAAAAGATAAGGAGGGTGTGTGAGTTTATTTGTTGYATTTATCGTATATAAATATTATATAGTAAA